CCATCGCCTCCGATGAGCTGAGGTTAAGCCCGTAACAGTGGCTGTGCTGTTCCCGTTGGCCCCGTCACATTCGCTGCCCTGGAGTAAGCCACCGCGTCGCACAGCGTTCCACCTACAGCGGCAGCACCTTGTACTGACCCAGCCTGAGGGAGGCAGAGGCAGGAGGATCATAGTGGGCTCAAGGCCAACCTGGGCTGCACAGTGAGTTCAAAGGAAACTCTGTCTCAAAATAAAACTGATTCTTTTTTGAATTACTAATAGACTGGTTTTTTCCTCTCTGGAAAACTTACCTCCCCCCAAAATGTTAATTTTAATGTTTAAATAATTGATTTGCATTTTTCTAAATAAATGTTTTCTTTCTTTTTTTTTTTGGTACCGGGGATCGAATTCGGGTCTTTGCGTTTACGCAGCAGGCGGCGAAACCACTGAGCTAAATCCCCGGCCCTCTAAATAAATGTTTTCCATTCTAAATGGTTGGCTTTTTAAAGTTAACATGCTAAGTGTCCTGTGTAACGTAAATGATTAAATGTATGCTTGGTGTCCATATAAACCTGGGGGTGGTCTCTTCGCTCTGCACAACGTGGCCCGGCTCCCTGGGGTTCCAAGCAGCGTGAGGACGTCGACGTCATCAACCTTAGTGTTTCCGAGAAAGATTTGGGTGGAAGAAAGGAGTAGTCAGTCTGGAGTTTGGCCCGGGTGCGACAGTGCGCTGTGTGCTATCAAATGATGAAGGCTTCCAAGAATGAGTTGCAGGTTCTGGGAAAAAAAGTTTCGCCTGTGTGCCCAGAGAAACGGGGTGTGTGCTGGGCGGGGCACCAACGCTGAGGACGAGGACGGGCGGATGCAGCTAGAAAGGTGAACCCTCAAGTGCGAGTCTCGTTCTGGGGGCTCAGCTGCTCAGGGTCCCCCTAGCCGAGACCCAACCCCCACATTCATCATCTACAGGTCAAAAGAGAATCTAACAAATACCATGCAGCTCTCCTTCAGGAACCTTTCCATTTCTAGGCTCTTCCTCTTTCTTTCCAGAAGAAAACAATGCGTCTTCGATTCCGTGCCCGGGAACCCAGGTCTGGCTCCGAATGTGTATTTCAAATCTCATTAATTACAATGTTGGGCCCAAGAGGTACAGTTGCTGAGCAAAGAAACACTCTTTGTACTCAAAATAATTTGAGCTAGGGCAAAGAAGCATCTTATTTACATGTGTAAACATCAGGAGGGAGATGGACAGAGGGGGAGGTGTTCTGATGCTAGCTGATTGGATGACTCAAGCTTGACGGTTTCCATAACTATAGCGGGATGCATGGTCCCAGGACATCACACTCGCGCTGCATGTTTTGTTTTGTTGGAGGATCACCGCCGCCTGCCTCGAAAGCTCAAAGTCCCGAGTTTGATCCCCGGTACCAAAAAAAAATTAAAATCAGAATGTTGGAGAATCACGTTCTTGTAAAGGTAACTCTGGCGGTAACTTGGAAGGTTCTGAACTAAGCCCTTTAACATTTTATTATTTCCAGATCCTAAGAGCAAATTGTTCTGAATACTGCACTCCACTGTGCAGAACTAGAATTTAATTATTTTTTTAAATATCAAAAAAATATGTCACTACCCATCGGGCTTTTTCATGTAACAAATCTGGGTAAAAAGAAATCTAATGAATACATTTCAACAGTAGACAGACTCTTCTGCTACCTTTTTCTGTTTTTCTTTCTTAGGTAGTAGCAGATGGAGCTATGGCTGTTTGTGGTCTTGTGCTGTGAGAACACATCCGGTCCCAGGTCTTCATGCCATTAACAAGTTAGTTGGCTGAGTAGGAAAAAGTCATTGCCAAGACATCGCCTGCCTTATAGGAGGAGGGTCATCTGCTTTCATGACCACAGCCTAAAATTCCTGCTCTAAGCTCTCATACTCGGCATGGTGGTGCATTCCTTTATTCACAGCATTCAGGAGGCTGAGGCAGGAGGATCTCCGCAAGTTCAAGGCCCACCTGGGCCACATAATGAGTTCAAGGCCAGCTTGAGCTACACAGTGAGACTTTGTCTAAAACAAAAAATTGGTGGGAGTGCCAAGGAAAGCAGATGTGGTTACACAGACTACAAAACAGACAAGTGCTGACTTCCTCCCCAAGGTGTCTGAGTCCGTCTGCAAACAACAAGAGCAAATCCTAAGTAATGCTCAGAAGCGGTGGCTGACAACCACACACAGGAGAATCCCAACAGCAGCTTGAGGGTGGTAACAGTTGCGTTCCTTAGCAGACAGAGTTTGGCTTGGAAACGGAGCCTCTGCCTTCCCAGGTGTGGTAACAGGGTGGCTGGCGCTGCCTCCAGCCTCTCCTTGATGTCCCCTGAGCAGCTGAGCGGCGTGCACTGTGGGTAACGTGCCAGAGATGCTGAACCCTAGATCACTACTCTAGCCTTAGCCCAGATAACTGAGCACCCCTTCCAGCTGGGAGCAGGGTGCCTCCGCAGAGAGGTGGGGGGGCCCTCCTCCACCCTCCCACGAGGTGAGTGACGTCCAACCCAACTGCTGACCCTGGTGGGTTAGGGAGGATGCAGTGGAGGCTGCGACAATGCATCCCAACCACCGGTCCCAACCACTGATCACCACAGGCCTGGAGAAACAGGAAGGAGCATTTGGGAGCTAGAACAAGCAGGCTGCTTCTCCCAGAAATTAACCTACTTAAGCCAATGTTATTTTTCTCACGTTGTTCTGCTTTTATGGGCTGAATTCTTGTCCTTTCAATAAACACGTTGTATTTTTCTTATGCCTTTGTTTGTTTGAGGCAGGGTCTCCCTATGTAGCCCAGGTCGGCCTCAAACTCGCAGCGATCCTCCTGCCTCAGCCTCTGGAGTACTGAAATCACAGGCCTGTGCCACCACACCCTGCTTATTTCTCTTTTATCTTTCATTGTAATGTCTGTTCCTTATTTTGTTCTTTTCTTTGGCGATCACATCCCGTGGCTTCTCCATTTACTCCTGTTTTTCTTCTTTCCTTTTCTTACCCCTTGCTTTCCTCCTTTCTCCATTTTCCTGGACACTGGTAGGGAGCTGCTTCTCCACCTTTTCTCTCTGCCCTTCAGCTGTCACCCCAGGTTTGGCCTTCCACCTCTCCTTTTTCTAGCTGCCCTTCTGGACCTCCTGCTGACCAGGCGGCCACACAGCCCCCTCAGTCCGCCTCTCAGCCTCAGGCCTTGGCCTGACCTGTCTCTTGGGGGGGGACGGGACACAGATGTTCCCAAGCTCTGGCCAGGGCAGGGGTTAGGATGAGCTGGCACCGCCACCCGAGGGCGCCTTCTGACCAGGGCTGGTGGGTGAGGCCCTTTCCTGAGCAGGGGGGGTGGAGGGGTCAGGGTGGGGGCCACCGCAGAACGGGAGTGAGTCACCTGGCCTCCCGGGGAGGCCGAGGCAGGGTGGTCTCCAGGGATGGTAACAGGAGGAGCCGTTCCTCCCCAGCAGGAGAGCCGATCACTGCATGGTCAGCCTCAAGGTCGCAGGCATCCCCAGCCAGGTGCCCCCCAGGGAGACGACAGGGGACATCCGGGGACAAGGAACACCATCGTGGGCCCCGCTGGGCCACAGGACGCCGAGGAGGCTAGGGGCCCGCGTCCGGCCTGGCGCGCGGCCTGCGGGCGCCCCTAAGTCTGGGCCGCCGCTCGCTCCCGCTCCGGCTCGGGCTTGGGCTCCGGCTCCAGCTCCGGCTCCGGCTCCGGCTCCGCGGCGCTCCAGGCCGCACTTTGCGGCGCGCCGGCGCCTTCTCTCCAGTGAGAGCAGCACGGGCAGCGCGGGGGGCGCGGCGGCGGCGCAGGGAACAGCCAGTTGTTTAAAATCCTCCTAGAGCAGTTTCTAATCCCCCCTGCGCCGCGGAGGGGGAGGGGCCGGCGCGCGGGCGGCGGCGGGCGGGGGAGCGGGCGCGGAGGGCGGAGCCGCGGCGCGCGCCGGAAGGCGGGAGGGAGGCGGGCCTGTCCGTCTAGCGCGTTGCCGGGGCGAAGGGGGCGGGGCCGCGGCAAGCGGCGGCCAATCGCGGGGGTGGCTGCGTGGGTCGCCATGGGGACGGGGCCGTTCCCGGGGAGGCTGTGATGGGTTGACAGGTGCGTGACAGTGGGAGCTGCTCTCGGCACAAGCATGTACGGCAAAGGCAAGAGTAACAGCAGCGCCGTCCCGTCCGACAGCCAGGCCCGCGAGAAGTAAGTCAGACGCCGGCCGCCGGCCGCCGCGCGCACCCTCGCCGCGCGCGCCCGCTGGGGGGCCCGGGGCTGCGTGCGGAGGCGGCGGGGGCGCGGGCCGCGCGCGTGGCGGGCGCGGGAGGGAAACTTGTCTCGGCGGCGCGGGCAGCCCTGCGCGCAAAGTAACTTTGGGGCGCGGGTCGGGTCCGAGAGCCGCCGGGGCCCGGGGTCGGGGGTCGGGGCTGGGGCGCCGGGGTCGGGGCTCGGCGGCTCGGGTAGCTATCGAGGCTCGGCCGGGCCTCCCCGCCCCGCGCCCGGCGCCAAGGACGACGCGGGGTCCCCGCAGCCCTTGGGGTGCCGAGGGCCAGGGGCGCGGGGAGCCCGCGAAGTTTGGACCCGCAGCGGACCGAGTCCCCGTGTGTGTGTGTGTGTGTTTTGGGGTGCAGGCCCGGGGTGGCGTGGCGGGCGGGGGCGGGCGTGGGGAACTTGTGGGGTGCAGTGGGTTCGGGGCGCAGGGGCTCTGCCGAGGGGTCCCCAAAGCGGCCGGCGAGTAGCGCGCAGAGGGGCCGGGCTGCGAGGCCGGGCTGGGGGGCACAGGTGATCCCTTCCTGGGGCCCCAAGGGGAGTTGGGGAGACGCTCAGGGCCCCCAGCCCCGTCGCGGGGCTGCTCGCTGCTGTTCTGGGGCGCTTGTGGGGGTGGCTGTTGCTTAGCTTGAGCGAGTGGAGCCTGACCAGCAGAAAGGGCCCCCGGGACCCCAGGGATCCCCAGCGACGCCTCCTGGGGGCGGTGCGTCCTGGCGGTGAGGGGTGCTTGCCTGTGGGGCCGGGGCAGGGAGCCCGGGAGGCCCCGCGTGGCGCCCGGGGACCTGCGCGGGCTGGGGCTGAGCACAGCCGGCAGCGCGGCGAGCTCCCTCCCGCTGGGGCGCGAGTCCTCCCCAAAGTTTCTGGTGCCCCAGGGACGGTAGCGTGTCCTTATCTCGCTGTCGGCAGCCGCACACCGTTCCCATGGGATCCCAGGGTGGCAGGCCCGGATGGAGCAGAACACCCCCACCCCCAAATTAGCCGGAGATGCTATCTTTCCAGAGAGGAGCTACGGCGGGGTCTTGTCGCAGTTGCAAGGAATATGTAAGCAATACAGCATGGATGCCCGGTGAAGAGACAGCAGCGGCTGGGTCTCAAGTTTTGAAATACAGACTAATTCATGTGCATTAATCATTTGGCTGTTCTGTATCGGATAAAAGCCTCTGTCCGAAGGAGGATGTTCTCGTGATTACAGAATATTTGGATTTTAGGTTACTGGGGGTGAAGAGGTTGAAATATAGTTGAAGGCTAATCTTATCTTGGGGATAGCTGACTTGGAGAATCAGAGTAATTTTGGATATTACTTGGACTCCCTGCAGTGGGTGAATTTTGGCTGAATATAATCTATAACCTGATAACTTGGTGAAAAAAATTTTTTTTTAGTTGCTGAGGTAATAACGAGGAAGTTGGACCCGGTGTATGTGGCACTTTCTAGCTCGGGTTCTGTGATACTCTCATGAAAATAATAATTGCTGCTCTTCGCTGTCAAATCTACCAAACTGAACCCTGACATCCACTTTTCTGAGCAAACTGTTGAGGGTTCTGCTAGATGGTGCTATTTGATTTGAATATCTTTCTTCATTCATTACAACCGGCGGCAGGAATTATCCACTGCTGTCTTATGAACTAAATGTAGGTGGAGAGGCCGCTTTAGGGGGGTCGCAGTGACCCTTCTGGGTTGACCGTTTCTGCATTAAATTCTGGGTGTATGTTCTTCGAGTCTAAGACAGGCGTGGGGGGAGCTTCTGTTTCCTAGAGTAAACTTAGTTTCATTTTGGTAACAGTTGATCTGATCACCCAGGTTTTCCTCTTGTTGACTTGCTTTTCTGCATCAGCTACTCCTTCTGAAGATAGGAATCTTGAAGGTCTTTTCAAAGGATGTCAACAGATTTTTGTTGTTGATTTTTTTAAGGTGGCAGATTTTAAAGGTAGCTGAGTGGTGAGAAATTCTCTCTTAGTAAGCAAATTAAAACGGTTCTGATCTTAAAAAATTATAGAAATAATCTGTTTTTCAGGAATGAGTAATGTGCACCAAGTAGAAGCATTCTGAAAATGAGTCTTTTTCCTAGACGTGGTGGGGCATGCCTGTCACCCCAGCGCTCTGGGAAGCTGAGGCGGGGGAGTCACAAGGTGGAGCCCACCTGGGGGTATTTAGCAATTTAGACTGTGTCTCAAGATAAAAAAATAGAGGACTGTGGGTGTAGCTCTGCGTAAAGGCCCCATGCTTATCCCCAGTGCTCCCCCAAATCGGAACGGTTCTGATCTTTACAAAAATTTGTTTTTCAGTTATTAAGTAATATACACTAATAAAATACTGAAAATGTCATCATCATTATGAATAATGACATGCACATGAAATAAACATGTGTTTTATAATCTGCCAAGAAATGTGTTTTCTCATGTGAGTTCATAGTGCAGAGCTGGCACCCGTGGGCACTAGTGTTAGAAATCACTGTATAAAATATTGGGAATTAATTTGTAGGTTTGACAGTTTATAAAATTTCACTCTACAGTTCTAAACATAAAAATGACAAGGGTCAGGTTAATTACTTATTTTGCTCTTTTAAAAAACAAGCAGCTCAAGCCTATTGTGAGGCGTGGATCTCGCTGACACGGAGGGAATGATGGGGTACGGGCAGGGGACGCTGGCATAGAAGCTGATTCGGATCCAGTTAGGCCATTTCTCGCTTTAGCACTTCCTTTATCTCACTGATCACAGTGGTGATTAAATAACTGTGTAATTGGTTGTTTAATGTCTAGCTTTCCCTAAAATGTCAGTGTCTTGAGAGCAGGGAATTATGCATCTAATTTCCTTTCTTTTTTTTTTCTGGTACCTGGGATTGAACTCAGGACCTTGTGCTTGTAAGGCAGGCAGCAGAACCACTGAGCTAAAACCCCAGCCCTATACGTCTAATTTCTTCTGAGTATCTTTGACATTTGGGGCTGCCTTCCAATATTGGAAGCAACAAATAAACTTCATGAAGATGTTAGTTAAAGGGATTTTTTTCAGTGTGAAATAATTTCTTCAGTTACCTCCAAAATAAGGACTTAAACGTTTGAGTTCCCCATTCTCTAGCTTAGTTGTGTTTAATACCCAAACAAGAATACAACAAAGGTAACTGTTATTTATTTGCTACCCTGTGTGCCAGTCACTGCTTTTGTGCAGTGCTTTATCTATATTTTCCCTAAGTGGTCCAAAAAAATCTGTACGATAGGTGATATTTTTTTCCCCCATTGAAGAAATATGAAGAGACCCTGAATGGTTAAATAACTTACCTGGAGCTATACTGCTAGAAAGTAAGAATGCTGGGTATTTTTTAACATAGATTTCTCTAACATTAGAACTTGTGGTTGAAGCTGAAAGATGTATTTTTTCAGCGTACCAGATCTGGGGTGGGATGCTACTGATTTAGGGAATACTGTTGCATAATCCAAAGTATCAGTGTCAAGATTTGATCAGCTGTGCAGTCAGTTCTCTTACTGCTCCCAGTTTGGGGACTGCACATATATGTGTGCAAAGGCATAGAAATTTTAGGAGTGAAGGTGAAGCCTAAAATAATGAAGAATTCTTGTAGCTTCACATTTTCTCTGCAGGAATTGTATCACTTAAATTTTGCAAATAAATGTAATAGTTGTGAACAATTTCTGTATGAAATACGCTGAACTCCCAGCCATGCAGCAGGCTGTACGCCCAATGAGAGAGTCACTGGCGCTTACAGGCAGAGGCGTAGGCATATTAATTTTTATTAGACTAATTTGATCCTCTGATATTATGTAATATTATTGAGAGGTGAATCGGCTAAAGGTACACACAGTAGGGTGACATTAAATCAACTAGCCATACACTGCAGAATCAAACTGTACCCACCCACCCAAGGACTCTGAAATTAATGCGGCTTTTACATGCTGACACTGTTTGTTGAATATACCAAGAAACAAATATCATATGCTTGTTTTTAAGCGCTTGCGGTCTAAAGACGCTTTAGATGTCACTTCATCTGAGAGTCTGTCAGGATTCCTTCTGGCCACTGTCACTCACCCGACTCTCTTCCCACTAGAGCGGTCCTACAGCTCTCCCTTTCTGAAGGATACAGGCCAAGCAAAGAAATCTGGTTCTCTTCAGAGACCTGTTTGATGATGAGCAACTTACACAATTCACGATTCCTAAAATGAGTGATGGAGTATCTTTCTGGAAATGAAACGTTCCATAAGATACAGACTGACTCTTCCCTCCCAACCCTCAGGTGGTTTCCTCCAAAGTACTGACCAGCTCGAGGCTGCATGGCACCGTAGCTGTGAGAGCTCTTTTTTTTTTTTTGATTGATGTCTTTTCTGCTATTTGAGGAGAAAGATTTTAAAATTTTGAAGGAGCAAATCTAAAGAAAGAAACTAAGAACTAAAACCTTAGTATAGTTTATCTAGAGATTTATTGTACCCCATAGCAATAGTACTACAGGTACTACATACTTTCAGAACTGTGAAAGAAAACAACCCCAAACGGTTTATTCCCACACCTTCAAAGCCGCTTTGCCCTGTCAAACCAATTCAAGGTGAAAAAAGTCATTACATTTTAGTTGTTCTGCAGTAGTCATTCGGTATGTCTTATATCTTCAATTGCTACTAGAAAATAGAATTATTTCGTTTCAAAATCAGAACATACTGGGGCAGGGCCTGGAACCCCCAGATTGCTGCTGGTTAACATTTCATCTCAGTAGACTGAGTTTGAAGTAAAACTTGGGGAAAAACCAATTTGAATTTAGAAACTTTTCCTCCATGGAGACCACAGCCATTTACATTGGTGTTGGGACATAGGATGAGGACCAGAGTATTGGATCTAACAGGGCCGGGGATGTAGCTCAGTGGCACCGCGCCTGCCTCAGGAGTGCAAGGTCTTGAGTTCAATCCCTGGTACCTAAATAAATAATAAATAAATAAATAAAGGCATGACGGTACTGCTGGGAATATGTAATTTAAAAGTATGAATAATTATAACTAGGAATACATGGGAGAATTACTACTGCACATTACTGGTTCAACATCGGTATTGGAATGATGTGAAATATTTGCATGCCGCAACACATTGCTAATAAGCAAATCTCCATAAACATGCTGAAATACTAATTTTGTCATGAACTTACTATTTCCAACAAGATGGGGCTCAAAAGAACCCCGAAGCAATAGAATAAGATATGTTTGCTAGTATCTAAAGAGAGTTTAGAATAGAAATTAAGTGGTAGTATTTTGATGTTAGACTGCTTGTCAGATTTTGTTTCCCAACATCTGCTGTACCAGGCTCCATTAATGTATGTATGTGGTTTACCCAGCCCTGTGAGAGGCACTTGGCTGCTACACCAAACCTGGGGGGGCCCACCAGGACCAGCATCCTGATGCTCTAAGTAACGTTGGAGAAATGGCAGGGGCTCTCTTTACCCGCCCCAAGCTGAGATTCTAACTCCTTGTGGACATTGAAAGACAGGTGGAAATGGCCCACACAGGAAGGGTAGAGTTTCCCACAGAACTTTTAACCTTATGGCTGGCTGGTCACATGGGTGAGGGGTCATTTTTGTCACCATTGAGTTCATAGTTAAAGATTTTTGAAAAGTGCAGCTTTTTGTGTTTTGGTAATAATTACAGGACCCCATATTTATTTGGAGCCGACTGAGCATTCTCAACAGGCAAGGGTGTTTTTGTTTATGCTTTCTTCCCTCCTGTCACCTTTGAGGAGCAGGAGCTCCTGGGGTGAAGAACCACAAGGTAGAAGTCACCTCACTCTGTCAGGGATGCTGTCCCGTGGGTTGGACAAGAGTACCCAAGGGCCCCTGTGTTAAGACACCCAGATCTCTTCCTCTTCCTCTTTTGCATCCTGGCTCATGAGTGATATTAAAATTTATTTATTTTTGTGCATCTTTTAGAAAATGAAGCTCAGTTGGTATCACTTCTTTAGTAAAGACGAAACTACTCTCCTAGTTTGAGTTTGGATTATTACATTTCATGTAGGATTCCTTTGAGATCAGAATGAGCAACCAAAACATTTTAAATTGCTC